CCCTGGGGCTCCGCATGGTGGGGCAGGGCTCGGAGGGAATGCTCCCACCTTCCCCTCCATCTTCTTCCCCACCTCAGCCTTGGCTGGATTTGAAAGTGACGCTGGGCTCTTTGTGAGAGACTGGCCATCGTCATGCGTGTGCCTGCAAACACCAGTGCAGCTCCTTCCTCTTGTTTGGGAATAATTCTGCCACTTTCAAAGGGTCAGCATTGGGGTGTGTCTGTCACCCCAAATCACGGTGCCAGGGAGTTGCAGCTCAGCTTTGTAGCAAAACCCTGACCACCAAGGAGCAGGAGCAGGGCTGGAGTCTAAAAACCCAGAGGCCCCTGGGTTTACACAGCATCTTACAAAAATAATCCCTTACTGAGACGCTTTAAAAATAAATGAAAGCACTTAACTGAACGAGACAAACCCTTGGGGAAAAGCAACTGCAAATCAACTGTGTGAGTTGGGTGAGGAGGAGGGTGTCTCCTCAGCCAGGGGGGTGGAAGCAAAGCCTTTCCTTCAGCCTGGGTGCCATTGACTTGTGGCACCTCTCTGTGGCACCCGTGGCATGCTGACTCTCAGTTTTTGCCACGTGGTGGGTTTGGGGTGTGGTGAGGGGTTTAAGTAGGTTTTTGCCTTTTTCCTTTTTCTGTTGACCCTGGGTTTGTAGGGGGCAGGCAGGAGAGAAGCAGGGAGCAGGTGCTTTCTGAAACTCTGCTGGCTCACCTCTCCTTGTCCGTGCTGTGTCTCTGCAGAAGCAGATGAGTAACCCCTCTTGTTATGCTTCGTTAAGTAGATGTTTTGCTGCCAGCTGGAAGAGCTGATCCGTTGGCTGTACAACGTGGTGGAGGTCACCGAGAGCTGGGCCCCGGCCTCGCCGGACGCCGAGAGCGTGAGGGCGTCTCTGCACCGCTGCCTGGTGGGCATCTCCGCTGGCTCCTCTGCCTCCTTCAGCAGCAGCAACCTGCTCAGGGGAGACTGCTCCCCGGGCAACCTGCCACGGGTGCCTCTTCCACAGACCCTTCTAAGCAGCACTCCTCTTCTCCTGTCCTTCCCAGGAGTTCAAGAAAGATGTGGCTGACCACCGGAGCCTGACGGAGAGCGTGCTGGAGAGGGGAGAAGCTCTCCTCGACTGCATGGCGTCCAGTTCACCAGGTGAGGAGGAGCACTGGAGCTGGGCTGGCTGTGGACACAGCTGGTGATGGAGCACCTGCTGTAGTGCAGCTTTAGCACCTGCTCCCGAGGCGTGTGGGGCCTCACGTGGATGGGGGCTGTGGATGGAGAAGCGGTGGACAGAGTTTGCCACTCAGCAGCTGTATGGGAACAAAAAGGTTTCTACACCTCCGTTGCTGTCTGGAGGTTTGGAAGTGAAGTTTGAAGTGGTTTCTCCTGAGCACTTCCAGGTGCACCAGCTGAAGCCTTGGCCCTTGCCTCGCCGCGTGCCATCCATCGTGGGCGAGGGACGCACGTCTGCTCCTCAGGGGTCCCTTCTCAGGTTTTTATCATAGCCACGGCGTGGCCAGCTCTCGCTGGGCTGTGGGACGCTGTCAGCAGGCAGCTGGGAGGAGATGCTTTGATCCAGTGCAGGAGGAGGTGATCTTCACACCCTCTGTGCACCTTGGGGTGGGCGTTGGTGGCCAGTGTGGGGAGACAGCCCATGTGGCCCTGGCATGGCCCACGTGGGGCGGTCACGCTGGTGATTTGGTGTGTCCTGCACAAGGGATTTCTAATGGACAGGCTGTGTCTGCAGGCACCAAAGGGGCTTTAGTGGTCGAGTGCTGCATAATGGGTGGGCTTTCTTACACAGTCCCAGAGTTTTCCTTCAGAAGCCTCTATTTTGGAGCCTCCTAGGTCGCTTCCCATCCCCTCTCCACACTCTCCATCACAGCTTCGCCTATTGGCTTCTAGTTCCCCATATCCTTCAAGAGTCCGTCCGGGTGAACGCAACCCTTAGTTTACGGCTCTCCCAGAGGCTGAGCTGTGGTGTGGCTGCCTCCTTCAGCACCCGTGTTGCGTTTCAGC